GCAAATGCAATCTATTTACTCGACTTGGAATAACCAGCAGAGTCGAAACGGCTCATTACTAGAATAAAATAACATTTGTTGGAAAAGAGTAACAGCTGATATTAGAGATGAACTACAGACTGAGGTCTCCATTTATCTTGCCACTACACTATCAGAAGACAAAACCTCAGTAATAGGGATGATTTTTCTGAAATCAGTATCTATTTCTCATCAATGTATTTTAGTCATGCATTTTGATTCAGTGAGGCAACATATCCTTAGGCATGAAAGTGATAGCAGCTGTGTCTTTGAGCAGGGTTAAATATTCTATCTTTTTCGTTGTTCTTGTTCATAAATATCGTTATATCTTTATGACAAGATATTTTTAACCTTTTTTTTTTATTCTTTTGCTTGGTCAATGCCTGAAAATGGATTTTTATTAATATTAAAACATTCAGATATGCAACTACTACAAGGATACATAATCTAAACAAAATCTAAACATATTTTGGTAGCTGGATAAAAACTTCTGTATCATGAAGATTATAATTCTTTGAAAATAGATTTTAGTTATTAGAAATGTAACAGCCATTCTCTTTGATAAAGTTACTTCTTTCTTATTCAGTAGCTCATCTTTTACATCTTTGTTTTCAGTAGCTTACTGTGCATCTGTATAAAAGATGTGTAGATAGTATACGAAGGTGCATCTTAATTCTGTCTCTAACACCCCCTATAATATCTTAATTTAAAATATCCAATCACATTCTGTAAGTAAAGAACAATTTAACTGGGGCGAGCAATCACAGACTGAAGTTAATTGACAAAAACATAGGAACAGATAACATTCAGAGGATATAAAGTAAGACTTATCTACATACATTGTTACAAGACGCAGATAAATTTGTCTTCTGTAGCCAAATGACTATTGGTGATTAAAGCATAGCATTCCACGTACATGAGTACAGAAGCACATCCCAGTCCAAGCAATGGTGAAAAAAAATCCCTGGTATTCAGATGGTATTTGAGTTATGTATGAGAACAAATCCTAACTATGGTGAAATTAGGAATAGCAAGGGGTTGGTACAATATTCTGCTACTAGTAGTACCTTTTCTCCACAAGAAATCTTGAAGTTGTTTCTGTATGCAACAAGAAGTGATTTTGAGATCTTTGCTACAACTGAATAGTGAATCAATCTAAATATCTATGAATATTTGCACACTCTGAAGGTATAAATAATTTAATATTAAGAAGCCTAAGAAAATAGAATTTACATCCTTTCAGAAACTTTACATGTATATTTTATTTTAATTTTTCCTTTCTTTCTTCCAATTGCTTATTATACAGAATTTTCATTGTAATTTCCCATAAATATATATGGACAACCTTGACATATTACACAGTAGTACAAGCCTGGAATAGAAGTTAATGAACAAAAATGCATTTAAATACAATTTAATACAATGCATAAGCATTTTACAGGGTTAATATACATTATGAACAATTAATTTTGTCAGGTCAAAAAAATGATTTGGCAAGTATTAAGAAAATGTTATCATTCACTCATATCTCTTTGGAACATAAATAGCACCTCTAGATAATAAATGATTGTAAAAAAAAAAAATCCAGCCAATATATTCAAGTAAAAACCATACAGTATTGCAAAATACAGAAAGGAAGAAACAACTTTATTAGTTAACAACAATGGTTACTGCATGTTTAATTATTGCATAGCAATACCAGGTTCTGTTGATAAACTGCAGATACGGCGAACTTTCCAAGTAGGCTATAAGTGGAAAACACACACTTCAAGGAAAGGAATTTATGTTAGTTATTTATATACCACTCAGAAAAATCTCCCAGTAATTTTAAGGTACAACTTTTTTAAAGAATAAGACCCAATTATTGACTTTTCATGGGCTTGCCTACTTGCAGACAAATTAAAACCACCAAAACCTGTAAAAGGTATGATACATCATCAATGTTTTTGTGACTAGTGTTCTGGAGAATTTCACATATTAATCTAACGGGAATATTGTTTGCAGGTGCTTGAATAGTCTCACTTTCCACACTTGTTAGAAGAACATCACTTCATATGAACTGTTCATACATATTACATTAGATGAAGACTCAGTATATTGGTTGCAGTCTGTTCAGAGATAATTTAGTTAATATTTCCACAGCAATGACACCCCACCAACAAGCTCACCAACAATGCAGGTTTTGCCATCTACCTCAATGGCCGTTCTCAGTGATCTTAGGCTGCTTTGAACTGAGTCATGGTTGGAAACCAGTGTTATGTAATACTGCAGCTTTTTGAATGCATTTCTACTATAAATAAATCTAGCAGAAACTGAAAATAACATATGTTCTCACAGAAAAGCTTCAAAATTTTCTGTCATTTGTGGAAGTTTTTATTTCTTACAATTATGTTTCATTTATCAGGCACAATATGCAACTTACTCTAAAACATTATATATATTTTATATATACATAAATATATATAATATATATAAATTAGAGTTTTGTATATAGGGGAATACATATATACAAACATACCACATCTGCATATATATTCCCTTATATATGTCCATATATACATTCACAGAATACATAAACCATTTTCTCTGGAAATAAAAAAAATTAAGTTTATAAACTGCTCAAACAAGGCTTGAAAGGAAATAGCTAATTTCCATTTGGGTTAATAGACTTTTTTTGATTTTTATTTAAATATATCCTCTGTATTTAATAATTACATTCAGAATGTATGGTGGGATTTTTTTATTTATTTATTTACAGAGACTATTAAAATAATACACGTTATGCGTTAATTTAGGGACTGATTCATTGGGAATATTATGCAGGCATAGAAAATTTGCCAGTTGTAACAAATCCTGTGTTTGCTGTATTATATCTGACAGTCGTGAGATTTGGAATGGAGAAAATAAGGCTGAAATCTCCACTAAAGCCACATTGCCTCCAGTGTCTGATAAAGCTTTTGATTGGTATTTATATGTTGGCTTCAATGAACTTTGAACTAGGTCCTAGAAGGCAAGAATGGTTTGAAGAATATCTTTGAATAAACAATCATCTCTGGTTTTGCAAAGAGCATATGAAGAATAATCATCATTCCTTGGCCCCAATCTAATATTTTGTGATTACTTCCTTCAACTGCCCTATAAAAGGGAAATCAAGCTAAAATTTGCTATTATTTCTAAATCAGAAACACAATTTTTTTTCGGGGATGCAAAATGTAAAATGTTCTGTAATAATTTTAAAAATTGTTCGGATATATTAGCTTTGTTAATTTTGCTAACTTAGAAATTGTAAAAAAACAAAACAAGAATAGAGGGCCAGCATCTCACAGAAAGATCAATAGACTTTGGATATCTAAATGACACGTTGAGTTTTAATACCAGATCAGTGATGCAAAAACTTCACAGGCATGGATTAAGAATAAAGACATGCCAACTAATACAAAGATGTGGTCATAAATATGCACTCTCTTGAAAACAGAAGTGTAAGCAGCTTTAAATATTTGGGAGACTTTCTAATAGTCTTTGCAGGCTTTACCATTATGCATTTTGTTAACTCTGTTCTTCCAGGGTTGTGCAAGTCTCCAAACTTCAACTGAGAGGCAGATGATGAGAACAATTTGAACTGCTAAACTACAACATGCAAATTATGTTGAAATCACACAGAAATGCTTATGTAAATTCTGCCAAAAAAATGTGATAGTACATGCAAGCACTTTCATTATGTATATATTTTCACAAATATCAGAAGTGCACCCACCCCCCAAAAAATCCAAACAGCCTTGTTAAAACTGGTAAGCCATCTCTGAAAATAATTATTTTAAAATTCCCTTTATATTCCTCTCTGTGAGTAGAAAAATAGTAATCTATAGAGAAACCAGCAAAAATTGCCTGGTTCAATTTTGTTATAGGCAAAATTTTCAGTGTCATTTATAGTATGTTCCTCTATAAAAGTAGTGACTGGCTTTTTTTAGTGAAAACCTGATAGCAGTCCAAAATCTGGCTGCATAAGTTGTAACTTATGTATCCCAGTAATATCTCTCCACTTATATTCACAACCAGATATGAAAGAAGCAAGTGAAAAATGTTGCATTTGGCAACATGGCAAATGTATCATTACAGGAAAAATAAGAAAGAATTAAAGATAAGTCACTACTTACCCAGTCCAAATTATTTGTGTTACTGCAAAATAAAGTATGGGGTGGTGGAGCTGGGGAACACTTAAAAGGAACGAGAATTCTCTAGGAGGAACAATCAGGTACACATGACCAAATGTTTTTTAAGCACACTGAATGCTTATATGCAACAAAACCATTAAAATTCATGTGAATTTTGAATGAGTGTCAGTGAAATTGCTGCCTTTCTCTTTAGCAGTAAGCAAAGTTGAACTTCCTCTCAATACAGGCAGTTTCACTTAAAAAAACCTATTTGAAGATAAAGTAAGATTTTCCCTAGTTCTGTCAAAATAGTTCACAAAACACACTCCTGAAATAAAAGCATTGTAGTCTTTGATATAAAAAGATGTTTTTCTGAACTTCATGGAAATACAGGACTAACAACAGTTGCAACCACAGTACAATGAGGAGAGATGGAATGGGTGAAATTTTGATATGTTACTGAAATAGTATTGAGAATTATTAGTGAGGAGTCTTTCTCTGGAGCTGGAAAGGGCAATACAGGAGAATTCTCCAGCTAATAAAGTGTATGACATAACAAATACCCTAAAGAGAGAGAAGTATCTGGATGTGTACTTTAAAGCAACTTTAACCCTGATATGAAATTGCAGAAAATATTATTGATGCTATTCGCCTTCCTACTAGTTTTAAAATTTTGGCATTATTTTTTCTAGAAGAGAAAAAGGGCAATCAGGCTTAGCAATACTGTGACAGAGAAATTAAAAGAATGAAGTATACATGAGTACAAATGAGAATAAGACCAATTAAGGTTTTGCTTGCACTGACTGACTCTACAAATTCCTAGAGTGCATAAGAGATATGTGCTAGGAAGTTTGTTTCTTCATCACTGATCAGGGGAATGTCTTAGTCCTGACCCTTCAGTGGTCCAAACTGAGGGTGAGGTAATTAAGAGAAACCAGAGGAATTTAGAGAAATTATGTATATACCCAGGTCTCATCTTGAAAGCAGAAATGTAATGATGAAATGATTTACAGTACAAATTACAGGTCAGTGCAAGTAGGAGTGATATTCAGGAGTTTGAAGGCAAGATATACTCATTTTCCTACTCTGATGCTCAGAATAAAGTTGATTCAAGGCAATTTATTATTATCATTACTTTTAGAAATAAGAGCTACCTATACTAGGCAATTCTCCCTTTAGGACCTGTTATTTGGAAGACATAGGTTTTTAATTTGTGGCAGTTTTTGCATAGATACTGTTGCAATTTTCTTCGCTCATCTCTGGGTTTTAACTTCTTTAATATTCAGTAGTATAGAGAGTATGCTGATAGGTTTTATTTTGTTGCTATTATTAAGAGAAAGAATAATGAAAGAGGTGTAAGGAAATGCTCACCTTGACTCTTCCTACTTGATATTGCTCTAGTTACCTGCCACATCATTTTGCCTTATGGGATTAAAAACTGCACAATGGTGAGTGGTGGTAAAGAAGCTCTTGCACTCCTATTATCTTTTAACATAATTGACCAGAAATGAAAGAGTAGCATCTCTGTAGAGTGTTAATAGAAATTTTTATTTCCTCTGAGATAGTAACATAATTTTTGCTATTGGTGGTCAGGTGTGTCTATGGCTCAAGGAGCTTTGTTTTTCCCTGATTTCCTATGCCATGTTGTTTTGTATTCTGAGAACCTGCATAGAACAGGCAAGTTGCCTGCATATTTCCTGAGAGACTTTTTATAACCATTTTCCCAAATCCTTTATTTATTCAATAGCAACTTTTAACAGCCTTCAGTCAAAAGTTGATACTTCCTGTCTTCTACCCTGTATTCTTAATCATGCTGCTTTTTTGCAAAGAGATAATAAGCACCTACAATTTTACCTCAGACATTTTGGTTTACCTCCTGTAGTAATCTCTTTTCAAATAATCTCTGCCTTTCTATCAGTGGCTGTCATGAGCAGAGTGATATTCCTGATGACTACTCTTCAACTAAAATTTCAGTTCATCTTTGACAATCCATTATTTATACCTGATAATCCTCACTGTATGAAAACTTAGTGTCTGTGAAACTCATCACTTTCTGGCTATGGCTTCCATAGATCCTGGAATTCACTCAGTATGTTTGTACAGCAAAAAAGAGAGCAATGCTTACATGTCATGGGGTGCTGGCAAGGCTAAGGTTCAGAGGGAGGTGCAATGTATTTACTTCCTCTCTGGAAGTTGGGAGACGAACTGTGATTTTACTGGGACTCAATCACTCCCCTTTACACAGTATATGGATTGAATCTGAACATGCAACCCGTATTTACTCCCAAAATTCTGAAATGCATACATTTGTTTCTGATGCTCGTAAAAATTTACAGAATTTGTTGGAGAAGTTTGGTTTTTCTGAATAGAACTAGATAAAAATAGGTTTTAAATTCTGTACCATGTTGAGAGTAGATTCACGATGTTTCTTCCCAAAACAGTGATGAGAAAATTTAAAAAATCAGCACTACTGTGGAACTTCATAAATTGATAAACCAGCAAAACAGAAGCAAGCACTATCAACATTTTTAAAAGAAAAATTAAAATAATATTGAACATGATAATATTAAGAAATAAATTTCTTAAAAGCCCTCCCATATCTACTAGATTTTACTATTGGTTTTTTATTTTTATTATTGGCACTTCAAAGTGTATTTATCACAGTTAGCTCTCTGTCCAATGTATTTCCAACTTTTTGAGATGTGGAAGAGGACTAAAATGAATAATTTTCTTTTCCTGGAATTGAGTGTAGGTATATCCTGCATAAATAGTGCATAAATGTTTTATGAATCAGACCCTTAATTTTCACAATTTTTGATGCATTTATAAGCATCCCTCCAAAACTAATAGCACCTTTCCTTACCCAGAAATAGAACATAAGTAATTTCACATATTGCCTTCAGAAGCTTGCACTTTTAAATTTCAAATGCAATACTAAATGATTTCTGTAAAGTAAAATAGTAGATTGATGCCTTCTTTTGTCTAAAGGAAGGGGAACAATTGTGTACATTTTAATTTATATGACAGTCTGCGTGAAATTGTAGACACAAGACTAAACATCCTGCATAAAACTGATGTGTCAATACAAAGCTTCCAGACTGGCATTGTCAAGGTGCCTTGCAGCACTTTTTCTCAAAGCAGCACTACAAAAAAAAAAAGAAGTAGCTTTTCACTAAATTCCTGGGAAAGGGAAGTGGGAGCTGGTATAAAGCTACTCATCTGCAAAGATCTGAAGTTAGATCTTAAATCTCTTCTCAGGAAACCATCAAACAACTAATGACTTGTCAATAAAGCCAAGCATCTACTTTGAAGTAATTGTCATGAAACTCATTAAGGCCACAAAAGCTAAGGGTTAGTATCCTTTTAACATCAGCAGATTATGAATCTAGTCCCTTTAGGAAAATGGCTTCAGAGTCTGATCCAAATCCTTCAGCTACACAGGAAGACGTAGTCAAACAAACTGACTGCCATTCTTGTTAGAAATGTGTATCTTGCGTTTAAACCATTTATGTAGAGGCAGATTTTTAGTTTCAATTAGCAAGGTGTGAACATACTTTGAATTCAAATGTATATGTTGAAGTACTATGTAATCAGCTATCACTGGAGGAAACTACGTCTGGGATATATTATAAGACAGCTTTTTTTTTGTATTTTAGAGGTACATTCACCAGTTATTTGTCTCCTACACAACTTTTATATCCATAATTGCTTATGCAGCCATATTTTTTATGTAGTGGGTGTACAAAAGAGAAGGATGTTTCAGTGTGCTTCAGACAGGTATTATGTCTCTTTTGAAACAAATCTTTGACTTTATGCTCTCTAATACTAGTGGTAAGTAGAATTTGGGCAGGTTATTTCAATAGACTGCATCATAAAGATGAATGCAAGTAACTTCCCAAATAAGGTAGGAGATACTTTTGCATTAGGTATACTTCTGAAACAAATCCGTTTGCCATTGGAAGGCTTTATAGCCTGGTATATCTAACTCTTGATTGTCCAGAGTTAAAATTCAAAGGACTCATTTGCATAGAGTCACTGCCTCTGTAATCATAGTTTTGTATCACTGAAACAAATAAACTGTAGATAGTAATTTAGCTTAGAGTCTTACCATAGGGCAAAAATCTGTTCCCATCCAATATTGTGACTGATCATTATTACCACAAAACCTGGCCTGTGTCTTGAGGACATATTCCTAATGCAAGTCATAAATGTTGCCTTCTGAGCTATATTTCAAATTAAATATTGGTTTCTCTTTCTGACGGATCTTCAAGAGCTTTATCAGCTCTGCTGGAAGCATCTTCATTCTCATTGTTTGTTAATGGTTCTGCTTCCTTTGGGTCAGCGTTCTTCTGTGCTTTCTGCTTCTCCTCTTCTAACTTCTTTTCTTTTGCCAAAAGCCTGTAGTTGATGGCATTGCCAATGAACAACCAGATACTGGCAACAGTCACAATCACTCCGCAGACAAAATACATGTACTGATATTCACCAGTAACATCTACTAACCAACCTGAAATATACAGATGAGAGAAAAAGAGTATTTAGACTAGGATACCAAATATAATCCACATCTTTCCCTTGGAAAAGTATCTATATATTTTTTGGTTTTGAAGTTGGAGCAGAAATGCATTTTCAACATGTTAAAGTTGTCTAACATAGACAGTGGAACTCTGAAAAAAACCCTGTTTTAGTCAAGATAGCAATTACCATTGAAGACACTGACAATAAAAAAATATTGAAGAAAAAATTAAGTAAAGCTTAATGAATAATGACAATTTTCAGCTCTTTTATTTTCATTCTTTCATTGCTTTATTATTTTATTCACCTCCTAATTGTGTTCCCTATTGTTTGGAGTGACTTTCTGACACTCACTGAGGCTGCACAAAGACAATAGGATGAAGAGGTATGTGCCTTTTTAGGCTGCTGTCTCTGTGCATCAGCTGCCCGCTTTTCACGTTTACTTTCCTGTGACTGGTGAAAGAGATAGAAAGGCTTCTCCCTTTAGCCATCATACATCAAGGACAGTAAAATGTAAGAGTTCTTCCAATTTATGAGACATTCCTTCTAAATTTCCCTCTCAAATTAACATTTGTATGTATCCAAGTATTTAGCTCTGAACTCTCCTATACTATAACTGAAACTCACAAGGTAACCTGCACACTTCAATTTAGTATATATTTAGATACTCTTATTGGGTTGAAAACATAATGCCAGCCTATTCACCTGATACACGTTTACAAGCCATGAAATTATTCCAGACATTTCTTTTTTTTTTTTTTTCCACAAACCCAGTATTAGGACGAACTCAAATAGCATTGCAAGTGTACAATTCACCTATTACTGTAAATAATGCAATTTGCTGATTTTTATCAATGAGCAGTCTCATAAAAATATATATTTAAAAGCAAAATTCTGAATTAGCAATGTTTCTGCATACTATTTTAAAACATATGAACTAGTCAAAACTGAGCTTAGCTTTTCCATGTGTTTATCCCCTTCATTGCCTTTGTTTAACAAGTTAAATCAATTATTCACAGTATTATAGCACAAAAAAAATGCTTTCCAAAACTCCTGAAAAGTTAATATACTGAAAAATAAATAACTGCTTATGAAGCTACTACTCCATAAATAATTAGATTTGCTATCTTTTGAGTTGATACCGATTTCAGAACCTGACTTAAAAGGCTTGACTCCAGTGGTTACAGGCTCAGACTCCCCACTAGGTGGCATAGAAAGAGTCTATGTAAGGATATATTTTGCTCTATGTTTGCCAAAGTGGATTTGTATATTAAATGATTAGAAAAATATGGAATGACTTTAGAAGTATTAAAAATATACTTGTACAAATATTGTTTTACTGAAGTGAGTGGAATTGTTTTGGCATACTCAGAATTGCACACAACAATGCTATTTTCATAGAAATACTGACAGTAATCTGAAGTACTTTGTATATATAAATGCACACATAATCTTGCTGACTTCTGAGGCAATGTTAATGTGGGTACAGTATATCACTCACTCTCTTTATATTCTCATATTGTTGGGTTTATACTGAAACACACAAACCATGATATACACCAATGCTTCTCAATAAAATTAGAACATCTAGTTTTTTAATCTCTTATATCATCAGAAATCTCAATAACATAAAGTTTACTATCAGCATTACTGAATACTGACCAAAAAGCCTGCAAACTGAAAATGCTTTCTGAAAATATTTTCTGAAAATACTGTTCATTTTTGCTGCTAGAAGCTCAAGTGTTAGGAATATAGTCTAAGCGATATACCTAGGCTCCCTTTAAGCTCCTCTTACACTTGTAAAGAGAAGTTGGAGACACTGATATCAGTCAGTTTCAGTCACTTCACCCTCTGAATTGCCTTGCCCACATCTATTGGCTATTGAAACACGCTAGAGGACTGGCTGTGAGCAGAGCTGGGGAGTGAAACCATGCCAAGGCCCAATGCTCCATAGCACCCTGATGGAATCCCACCATGTGTGCACCCTGCTTAAAATGCTGAGCAGGCCTGTGTTCCTTCTGACACTTTGCTGTTAGTTTTTCCTCTTTGGAATTGCCAATTCTCTCTGTTTAGATATATTAAAGTTGTTTAAGCAAGTGTAAGTTAACACTCTTCAAACTGCCCCTAGGTTGGAGAAAAGTAACTGATGAGGTTATTTTTTACTATCAGACTGTTATGGTACATTTCTAGTTACAGTAAAAATATTAAATAACATAAAGAACAGTGTTTATATTAATTCAATATTACATTGCAAGATTATGCTGTAATGTCAGACAAAAATGGAAAGAAACAGATTCTTACCTCCCAGAGGAGGGCCTATGAGCACAGGGCAGCATTCCACAATGGTGACAAGTCCCACCGCACTGGAAAATCTGGCAGCTCCAACAAGGTCCATCAATGTCTCAAAAAGAACACTGCTAACCATTCCAAATGCAAACCCAAAAAATACAGCATATATCACCAAGCCAGTGTAATTTTTTGCCAGAGGGCACAAGATATGACAGATGCCATTATACAAGACTGCAAAACTAAAAAAATACTGAATCTTTGGCCGAATAAACCTGGAGTTTGCTACAAGTCCCATGGAAGGCCTAGCAAACATGTCTACAAAGGCCAAGATAGAGAGCAAAAAAGCGGCAGAATATTCATCAATTCCCTTGTGCTTGGCATAAGGAGCCAAGAATACTATTGGAGCAAAGAAACCAATAAACATAATGACATTTCCTGACAAATATATCAGAAACCCTCTGTGTTTGAAGAGGGACAGATCTAGATACTTATTCATAGTTTGCCAACAAGACTTCTTGTTGTTTTTGTGCAAGGCAGAATCTCCTGTGCCTTTTTCAACATCTTTTTTCACAGGAGGGACTTTTTTTGGTCCAACAGGTCTCATAAGTGACCCAGCCACACAGCAGTTCAAAAGAAGTCCTCCCAGAATAAGAAAGCTTCCTTTCCAGCCAAAAGCATTAAAGAGAAATTGATTGAGAGGTGCCAATGTGCTCAGAAACACTGGACTTCCAGCCATTGCCAATCCATTGGCGATGGGACGCTTCTTATAGAAATACTTGCCAATCATGGTCAAGGCAGGCTGTAAGTTGAATGCTAAACCCAGACCTAAACAACACATAAAAGACAATATATATTATTGCAGGTCATGCAGTGAAAATCACATTCCACCTCTTTCAAGTTATTTTAAAAACGATCAGTATCCAATCCAGTAATTCTCAAAATAGAAACCAACTAGCATCAGAGAATGAAATACAGTCTCATTGCTGTCTATGAGCGTTAATACCAAGACTGTGTCATGGTGACATTTGGTCATTTTTCCCTGTAACGCTGCATTGAAAGCCAAAACTCCTTTTTGTATTTCAGCAATGACAGAGACAGGGGAATCACATACAGAAGAATGATGGTGCCTTGACTCACCATTTTCATATTTGCTAAACTATAATACAATTCTCTCTTGGCTCATTTAACAAAAGTTATTAAATGTCACCACTGCTACAATGAATGTAGGGTTAATTTAAATGCATAAATCTCCTAATTTCTTATTTCCAATCCTAATTAAGATCCAACTTGTCTGCAAAACTGGAGCATAAAATGGCAAATTATTTTCCAGCACATTCAGCTCTCCTTCCCCAGGTCACTAGTAAGGAATTGTAAAGGACACATGTGGGAGCAGACCACCCACCCACATCAACTGTGTATAAATTGAACCCAAAGTTGAACTTCTAGGCCTTCTCTCTGTATTAAGACATATAAGCCATAAACTGTAATATGATTCTACTTGATGGTACAGGAGAGAAGCTTTCTTCCTTGATAGGACCATTCCCAGACTCTGACTTTACTCTTTCAGTAGGCACCAAGTTTAGGATGTCAAAAATAAGAGTTTTAAGGATTAATCACTGAATTAAAAACTCCTTTTGTCCCAACACAAAGGAAGATGAGCCTGACTATACAATATACGTTCATTTATTACCTGTCAATATTTCACCTCTCCTTATTCTGAGAACGGCGTTTTAAAGCAACTCACAACTTTTAATAAGGAGTTTCTTTAATTTACTGGCATTACAATAATTTTAAGTCATTGCTTTGGGCAATATCTAAAGCCTTTGACAGATGATTACGAATAATTTGGTGATTGAACCTGGGGGATTTTAAACAGAAAACAATTGAACTGAAAATTGTTATACTTTTCTGTGAGAGTATGCGCATGTACAAACCTACAGAAAGCTAGTACAAGCTTTCACAATTCTACTAGAATTTGGCTAGCTTCTGTCCCCCTATCTGCAGTGCAACATGACTGAAAGCTAAAATAATGAATAGGAAATTGCACACAAATGCCTGTAGTAAGTGCTGTCATGAGCCAATCAATTTTTATACCATAATTATCGTGCAATGTGGAAAACTACATACAGCATTTATTGAATGCTGTATTGTTTCTGAAGTGTCCTAAGAAATAATTTAACATGTTAATTTAAAGGATTAGATAGTTCAGGTAACTGAAATTAATTGACCTTACTACCTTTTTGGATTGCATCTGTACACAGAGATTCTTGATCAGTGAGGCTCATTTGTAGAACAATACTAGAAATCATTCAATATAACATAACATAACCTTTTAGACAGGACTCTTACCTCCAACCACACCGATACATATATACAGTTCAAGGACACTATTGCAGAAAGAGGATGCAATCATTCCAAAAGAACACAGGATACCCCCTGCTATCATCACAGGCCGGCTACCATACTTATTCACCAAAATGCTGCTTATGGGACCTGTGGGTAGAAAGAAAATGCATTTTCAGGTAACAGGCAACTCTATCTTTGCATTTACAATGTGTTGGAATGCTTTCATCTTCCATCCTTCTGTATCTATACCAACCTTTCTTACAAACACTCTGCACTCTGTGAGTTGGCAGATACAAGACTGGATGTGGATATACTGCCTCCATGACAATACAAATACTGATTGGTTATGGAGATGGACAAAAAGATTAAAGGCATCAGACAAACTAGAGGGATTGTTACAGTTTACAATCAATACCAAGACCAGTCAATGGATGTTTTGAAAATGAAAGGACTGAAGAATTTCAAGTATGAGACAGGTATCAAAACTCCACAGAGCAGGAGGAACCTCCAGGCAAGCAGACTAAAATTACTTAATACTGCAGCATGTCCTGCACCCTTACTTAGAACCACACATAGTCTTAAAAATCAGATTCTCAAATCAGAACATAAATCTCTGACCCCTGAGGCTTGCTTTCCCTTACCTCATCAAGAGGGGAGTGTTAATGGGCAATAAGATGACTATACGCTGTCTGGGAAAATCTAAAATGTGGTTTAGAATAAAAACCTATAAAATTTTAAAATATTGCTATAGGTCCATTTTTCAGTTTCAACTGCAATTCAGTTTATAGTATAATTGCATCAATACTAACCAAACATCTAGTGTGCAATTTAGCATGACATAATGTTTTTGAACAACCATGGCTAGAACAGATGGTGTGCTACATATCAAGATTAAGAGCTCTTTAGGTAAACCTGCATAGCATCTGATTGCACTATATTTGGCCCAAACCATTACAAATAGTCTTGCTTTTGCAAAACTAAAGTTATCCAATACAAAAATTTAAAAAAAATAAAAGCAAAGAACCCAGAAAACCCAACATAAAAAGCAATGCATTTCAAACTTCAGATAGAACAGGCACCTAGCACAAAGTGGAATGCCTTGATTTTCATCTGAATTCACTGCAAGTTATTCACTATACCGATTACAGTTTAAAGTCTGTTTTTATAAATATCTAAAGGAATAAATGCCAGAAACTTCATTCAATGAAAAGCAAAATCCAATGAAATTTAGAAGTGTGCTTTCATAGGCAAAATTATTTTTTAGACTCTACTCTTTGAATTACCTTAAATGTATTAGAGTATTATTATTGATAGATTGCAAATGTTAATTACTATTTGCATAAATACAACAGAAGTTTTAAGAATATGCCAAATTATCAATTTTTACCTTACTTCCTTATGGAAATAAGCTTCTGCAATAGAGTTGCCCTGTGCCTGCCTGTCTTTTCTAATAGCTCATGAATACAGAGATCAACCTGAAATTAACTTGACTAGAAAGCAAAGATTTGAGTGTGTTTGGATCTTAGTTTATGTATTCGATAAATAGCTTGAGTCTCAAGGAGTCTTAAGCATAACCATATATCAAAGCCAACAGACTTAGACATCCACAATATGGAATGGACACCCAAATAGACAACAGCCCAGGGATTTATTAAAAGACTTTAGAACACTTATGAAACACTAAAACCTTTAACTAACAGCTTATATGATGACATAAATAGCATTTCTTTATTTCCATTTGAGGGGAACCACTAAGCAGAACTGTGACAAGCTAGGCTTTTCCCTTTGAGACCATATGAAGAAAGCAGTGAAACATGGAACACTTTTTTAAATTTCTAGAGCTATGTTTGGATAATCAGTGGTTGGGCTCATGTCTGAGTTAGAAAGCAAGTCTTTTTGCAATATATAAACAATAGAAATAATTAACCTGAGTAAAAAAAAAAAGAGCCTTTTAACTGGAAATCTCTTAATTCAAAGCAAAAAGTTTTATCCCAGTATCAAATAATAGCTATAGGTATGAAACGAAATAAATATAAGACAATTAAAAGAATCTAATTGTTGTTATTGCTAAACACAGCAACAGTATTTACTTAAGACATATCAAAACAATTATTTCAAGTTTTTTTGTTTTAAATAATTTCCCAGTTCTTCTTCCTGTGATGAGATGGAAGTATTTAGAAAATTGAAAATGAAAAATTTGTTTAGTATTTGCTAACAGACAGTTCCTTACCAGGAATAGGAAAACTGCATCTCTGCAGATCTTCACTGTGGCAGTTAGGCCAGGACCATAAGTTACAGCTTTCCAGGTCAAAGCATGTAATAAAAGCTTCACCTACAAGACCTAATAGCTGAGCTCAAATATGGAATGTCTTAATTTAGGTAGGTTGTCTGAGCCTGACTCTACTCTCAAATGGCATAAATCTGGAATTATGATAAATTCAAAAATCCTTTAAACATAATACTATCTTTGAGATGTTTTCTTTAGGTCAATGATGTGTACTTACCACCACAGCTCCACTTAATTTGAGGTTTTCTTTATGTATATTCCAGTATTTTGATTTAAAATTTGAACGCGGAAAATATTAATTGTTCTACAAGCCATAGTTAGTTTAAGCTCCCTAAATTATCTACAAAATCTTCCAATTGAGAAGTAGGTTAAACATTTTATTCTGATATCTGTGCATACACTTGGTTATGAAGTCTCATAAAATAATGCATATTTATAGCTTAAAATAGATGATTCTACATAAATTCCAGCTGTTTCCTTCCATCATATGTTTTATAGCCTTGTACAAATTTCATGTCATAGCTAACATTTACAATTATTTAAGCAATGCTCACATGCCAGCATAGGTCTATATTCTTTGTGTATTCTTTCTTTTCAGATGAAGGAAGATTAAGTTGTTTAAATACTATTCCACTGTCAAAACCTTGCTATACATTAATATATGTTAAAGCACTAAAGGACAGCTGGATCTCTGAATCTACTTTTCTGAAGCCTGAAGTAACTGCATAACAGATGCTAAGTCAGAAGACCCACAAGAATATTTATTCTGGTCTCTCCCTTAACACCCACAAACCATCAGCCACAAAAGGTTATATACTCCCTAAATTTAAGACCATTATCGTAATATGCTAACACTCTCACAGCTGTATTTTTGTTTTATATCTTTCTGTTTCAGGCAAAGGACCACGCTGTGAAAAGGTATAAGACAGCAACTGTAACCAGTGCCACAGAAAAACATTTTCAGGAAGGGCTGTGCTTTATAAGACAAGAAAAAATAGCTGCTTTTCACATTGTTTGTCACTGTGTCAAGGGAAAAGTGGCAAAAGTAATTTCAGCTGTGTGAGCAAAGATGGGATCATGCATTTTGGAGCTGTTTATGATGTTCCATACAAAGTCTATATAATGTGACACCTATGTTCTGTTTCAATGGCTCAAAAGAGCATTTACATGCATGTGTGCACAGAGAAGTTGTGAATGCTGAGAGTACATTAAGATTAGATATCATGAATAAAATCTTCCCTGTGAGGCTGGTGAGGTGCTGGAAGGGGTTGCCAGAGAAGCTGTGGCTACCCCATGAGAACACCCTGTGAGTGTTCTAGGCCAGGCTGGATGCGGCTCTGAACAATCTGGTTTACTGGTCGGTGTCCTGTCCATGGCAGGGGGGTTGGAACTAAATCGTGGTCTGGGTTGGAAGGGACTTTAAAGATCATCTAGTTTCAAACCCTTTAAGGTCATTTGCACAAAGTCTCTCTCCATTCTTCTTGCAGGCTCCCTTCAGGTACTGGAAGGCCACAATTAGGTTACCCCACAACCCTCTTTTCCAGGCTGAACAATCCCAATTCTCTCAATCCTTCCTCACAGGAGAGGCGCTCACTCCCTCTAATCATCTTGGTGGCCTCCTCTGGACTTTATCCAACAGGTCAATGTCCTTCCTGTGCTGGGAGCCTGACAGAGGAATGCAGCACTGCAGCTTGCAGAACATAGGGGCAGAACAGAGCAGAGAGGAATTCCCTCCCTTGCCCTGCTTTGGGTGCAGCCCAGGACACGTTTGGCTCTCTGTGCTGTGAGTGTACATGGCTGGGTCATGTCTAGCCTCTCCTCCAGCAGCACCCCCGAGTCCTTCTCAGCAGGGCTGCTCTGATCTGTTCATCCCCAGCCTGTGTTGATACCAGGCTTTGCCCTCATCCAGGTGCAGCACCTTGAACTTGGCCTTGTTAAACCACGTTAGATTCCCATGGGCCCACTGCTCAAGCCTGTCCAGGTCCCTTCTGGATGGCATCCTGTGCTTCAGATGTGTCAGCTGCATCACTCAGCTCAGTATCATCTGCAAACTTGCTGAGAGTGCACTCAATCCCTTCATCCCTGTCATTAATAAAAATATTATATATTATAATTTATTATAGTAATAAATAAGGTCCTGTGCAGACTCCTGAGAGACACCATGTGTCACAGATGTCCATCAGGACTCTACACCATTGACCACTACACTCTGGATGTGGCTGTCCAGTCAATTCCTTACCCAGCTCATCAAGTCCAGTTCTCTGCAAATTAGAGACAAGGGTTTAGGGGATGGGGTCAAAGGATTTACAGCAATCCAGAGAGGTGACATCTGTAAACTTTCCCCTGTCCACTCCATCATAGAAGGCCAATAGGTTGGTCAGGTGGGATTTGCCTTTCATGCAGCCATGCTGGCTGTCCTGAATCACCTCCCTGTTCTCCATATGCCTTAGCATAGCTTCTAGGAGGAGCTGTTCCATTAGTCCTAGTTTGATTTCACACTGCTGTAATACAGTGATATAATTAGAGATCACGCTGTAATTTGTTTCGTATACTGCCAGTGCCTTTATGCTTTTTATTTTGCTACCTCCATTGATTTTAGCATGGAACTAGAGATAAACTTTCCTGATAAAAAATGTAATTTCTTTTTAACATATATTGAAAATGTCATTAGAGTGTTCATAGTGTCATAGACCCAAAGCAACATGAAATGACTCAGTCTGAACAATATGACGTTTATTTAAATGAAGTGAATTGCTGAAACAAGTTGAAAATGAATGTAATATTTGAAATTGCACTAATGCTACACTGTAGATTGCATCCTGTCAAGTGGTTTAAACACATTTTCAGCCATCTAATCTGC